CAATCTAGTTGAAAGTTATACTGTATATCTCAGTTTCATTCCCATAAAGATGAACATAAAATTTTGATTCACTTCTTCCTCGATCTTTCATCACCGGCTGTTCTCCACATTTTTAATTGCATGATCTTTGATGTGACTGCCATAATTCATCAACTCATGCAAACCCGAAGGTCTCTCTTGGGTAGATTCCACCCTCGTGCATGAGTGCATGCAGTTTACTGGTGAGGGGATTATCTCAAGATAATCTGTTTTGCCCACAATGCAGTCAAGACACCCTGACCTTTGCAGTTTTTTTTTAGGACACCTGATCTTTCTCTAAAACAGAATGACCTTATCACTTGGACAGAGCAGCTTCTTTAATGAGAGAAAGTTGTTAAGGTCACATTTGGAGGGTCCAGCTATACTGTATTCTGGATGTTTTACCCTTCTGCCCTATTATCTTCTTTGTGCTGCTGGTTCAGATGGCTCAATCAGCATTCCACACCCCCACCCCACCATAGTGCCATGCTGATCTGCCACAGACTTGTGTTGTACAGCACATAAACAGTAAATTGCTTCTTTTTTAATTTCACTTTTATACTGAATTCACAGAATTCACAGGTTCATTGAAAGAATGTCAAAGAGCCAGCAGCCATATCACCCTGCATCTCACAACTGGCAACCCACTGAAGCTAAGCAGGTGTGAGCCTGGTCAGTACCTGAATGGGAAACCTCCTGGGAAAAACTAAGGTTGCTGCTGGAAGAGGTGTTAGTGAGGCCAGCAGGGGGCGCTCACCCTGCAGTCCAGGTGGGTCCTAATACCCCAGTATAGTGACGGGGACGCTATACTGTAAATAAGCGCCATCCTTCGGATGAGACGTAAAACAGAGGTCCTGACTCTCTGTGGTCATTAAAAATTCCAGGGTGTTTCTCGAAAAGAGTAGGGGTGTAACCCTGGCATTCTGGCCAAATTTCCCATCGGCCTTTATCAATCATGTCCTCCTAATAATCCCCCTCTATGAATTGGCTACATTACTTTGTTCTCCCCCCCCCCCCCCCCGCCTTCCGCTCCGACGGCAGGCAGGTTGGAGTATTTCTCGGTCGCAGTTAAGATTTGGTTCAAACCACCAAATGGAGACTGGTGTGCCGATAGGCAGACCCTGCTGATGCGGGATTAACACTAGGAAAGAGAGAGATTAAAAGAATGTCAAAGGTTCTTATTAAGAATATATGAAGGTTTAGACAAAACAAAAGACAATATGTAAAAAGCTCAGATAGTTTAGATTAGATCTGGGTTTTCCCATTCCTTACTATGGAGTACTTCCTGAATACTTACTTCAGGAATACTTACTATACCAGTATTCCTGAAAAGGTAACAATTGGCTGAGCAATGTTTCATCGGTTTGCCAAACAATAGGGTTCCCAAAACCTTGCTGGGCACTTGTCATCTTGCCGTATTACCAGTGCGATCTGCATCAGTCCTCCATCCTTCACTGAGCTCCTCTGTAGGTGCTGTGTGCCTGCCTTTTGCTGTGAAAAGATGTGGATATTCTGCACACACTAAAGAGATGAGTGTGTTGTTTTCATCTCTCCTGTGCCGAGTTTGGAGCTGTAGGTGTGTTCTGGGTTAATTATCATTTAAAAAATGAAAATTTGTCTATAAACTTTAAAACAATACTTAGAACAATCACAAACCGGTAATTACCAGAACTCATTCTGTTTCCAATGTACTGTAATTAGATATTTGGATTATGTTTTGGCCTGGATTAAATAAAAAATTAAATATTGCAAATTACAATCCCAGTGCTTAATGGTGTCTTTTTTTGTTTACAAGAGGCCTCTTGTTTATACCCACTGGAAACCTGCCATCAAACATGGGGTTTGGAATTTGCATTTGGTGGTTGTGTGGTTTTGGCTGAATCTGAGTCTTTTTATGGGCGAAAGGTTTACTGGTCATGGGGTTGCCTTCCCATAAGGCTCCTGGAGGTTTAGGGAGAAAGGGGCATACATCAGCGTAGCGTGCATGTAACTAAAAAAGGGGAAAGGGGGTTTGAAGAGTGAACACAGAAACAGCACACGGATCTGCTTTCACTGCATCATAGATAAGCCAAAGTAATTACAGCACAGTCCAGCTAATTTTAGCCCTGTGTGGAAGCTGACAGAGTGTATTATTCATGGTAACATTTGGATTTTATTAAATGCAATCTGCTTTTAGTTGACTCTGGCTCATTTTCTGTTTCTCCACTTGGTCCCATCTCAACATCCGTTATTGAGCAACAAACAATAATGCCTGCTGCTTTTTTTTTTTCAAAAATAGTTCCCCTTTATTTTGTCTACATTTCTTTTTTGTGACATTTTCTTTCTTTTTTCTTCCATAACTTCAAACAAATTTAAATCACTTATAAATTTTAATATTAACTGCTTACAAGTCTTTTAGCATCTGGGTCCACTGTCTAACCTCTTCTGTACTCTTTTGTTATGCACATTAAAAACAAACATCTAAAATAATCAAATAATTGTTCATTAACTGGTCTGTGTTAATAACCAATTGCAGACGGTATATTTGGCAGCTTAATGGGTTAGAATGTATGTGATAGATTTTATGCAGGGGTGCAGCTGAAATCACAGAAATCTTAGCCATAAATGTTCAAATAATTGATAAGTTCAGGCATGTAAACACAGAGATCTTTGTGTTTCTTGTTTCCTCACTGAGGTTTCAAAGTTTCTTTTTCCTTGATTTATATCTGTAATATTTAAAGATAATTTTCCCTTACTCATACGCTATATACTGTATCATGTGGATTTTTTTGTTCCCCACAAATAGCAGGCTAAGAGAATAAGAATTTCTAAGTAAATAAATCAAAGTGAACATGGAGGAACTTCAGTTCAATACCAGAAGGCAAAGCCTGAAAATCTCTTTATCTGGCAGTTAGAAACTTGTAAAAATCTCCTTGTTGGATTGATAACCCATAAGCATAAATAATTAGAAGAACATCATTCTGCCTACCTGGTTCTGTTGGTTGCAGATAAATAATTGATCTGTCCAGTTATTTCTTGACCTGAAGGACTTCAGGTATCACCCTCTTTAACATGGTTCTTTAGCTTGTTCCAGACAACCCTTTTGTATAGAGCCTTTTTTTGAAGACCTTTTAGTTTTTATTGATCTTAAATTCACCTCACAGTCTTCTCTTTGACTTTCAAGTATTTTTTTAGGAATTTTGTATTTCCAAATACTGCTGATCATCAAGCCTCTCTTTTAACATGCCACAGGTTACACAGGCAATTCAGAACCAGTGAGAGGAGAGGGTCAGCACTGTCTGTGGTGTTTCCTGTGTTGATATTATCGTAAGCCTGCGTGAGTCCAGGAAGCTGTTTATCTGGGAGCTGAACCCTGGCCATCCCAGTCCCAGTAGTGATAAGCCAATGTTTGCCAATATTTGTCAACCCTGGTCACAGCCAGCTTTTGACATGAACTTGCAACATCTAGGTTTTTACTAATGCATTGTACAATTTAATCATAATGACCCTTGATTTAAATTTTACATTTTTAATGATAAGACCAAAACTGTTTAGAAACAGAACTTTGGCTGCTAAAGACCTGAACTCTAAAGTCAGATGCCAGATGCAGGAGGGTTCTTCCCCAGGAAGCTGGAAAAGGTGAAAGGGCCCCCTGTAGTGAGATCCAACTCAGAAAAAGATGGCTTTGCATAAATCAACTATGGAAACCAGAGGCTTGCCAATGGTCCTGTTCTGCCGATACTGTTGGACTTGGAAAGAAATCAGAGAATAGAGCAACAGTCCAAGAGGATGAGAGACCGAGCTATTTGTGGTCTATTAGGAAGCCCCCGGGCCAGGGCAGAGGGACACTTCACACCTCAACAGTGAAACCTGACCCGCTCCTCTGATGATGGGCTTCTCACCTATTTATAGCAGGCTCCAGCTCGCTCTGCGCCTGCTGTGCTTGTGCTTCTCCCTGGATATTAGGGCATGCCAACCAGATGAGTCTCCTTCAGGGTTCTGCTTATTGTGAACAGTTTGCCTTTTTGATTTGTCTTGCAATATAGGAATGAAGAAAGGACAGTGGCTTCACCCTCTGGTGCTGGTACGACAAAGAGGAAGAATCCAGTTCCCTGTCACGATTATAGTCCCCCCTCCTTAAGGGTGCTCCAACCCTTTCACTTTAGACTTAATTCTGTGCACCTGATCCCTATTCCCAGCCCACCTTAAAAGCCAAGCGCTGACGCTCATCCTGGCTCTGCATCTGGTTTCCGCACCATGCGAGTCCGGGACCTGGAAGCGCCTGGTCCCGTTAAGGTTTTAACCTCTGTTCCTGTTCCTAGTCTGCCGGTTCTGACCCGGTTCATGGTTTTTAATTCCTTGTCTTGATGGATCTCCTGGCTTTGGACTTACTCTTGTGTTTTTGGATACCCTCTAAGAATTACTCTCTTGGATTGTTTGCCTCGGCCACACCTCCCCCGTGCACCAGCGCACTTTGGACACGCCCCCCTGTTTTCAGCCCTGTATTCCTGCATGACGTTTTCCCAGTGTTTCCCCACTTCTTTGGATTGTGTCGTCCGCATGGGGTCTGGAAAGAACTGATCGTTACATTCCCTAAATCTGTCAAAAGGCTTAGTTTTTCAAATGAGGATTTCAAAAAAAGTTTGATCAGCACTGTGAGGCATTTTATCTTATAAAAAAGTACCATGGCTGTATCTTATAAAATAGTAAATCTGCTTTAAAGCACAGCAAAGAGTGACAAGCCTGGCAGAGACGTGATACTGCAAGACACAATCTGAGAAATCATTACAAAGTGAGTGCATGATGTACTGTATGTTAAAACCATGGACGAGCTTTAAAATTCTGCGAACTTTCTTAAGGGATGCCTCATCTATACTATTATTAGAATAACAGAATTATGTGAGAATTTCACATCCTCTTTTCAGCTTCAGCTTCACACACACCACCAAGCCAAATAAGCTGCTAATGCATGTGTTTTTCTTGTGTGTTTTTATGTGTTCCAGTGAAGTATATCAAGGAGATGTCAGCCTACTTTAAGAATGCCTCTCCAGGGGCCCCCACCCCTTGGGACTCTCCACCTTCTTCACCCCAGAAACAAGGGGTTTCCAACTCTCCTTCCCAGTCAATGGCAGATCTGAAAGAAGGCAAGATGATCCCCCTTAAAATGTGTCAAGTAACCAGGAAACACTGCCCACCAGACACTGAAAACAGGTATGACGTATGACGTAACGATCCAGGACCACAGGTGCAGGGCATTAGTGTCTTGTACTGGCAGTCCAAGGCTGAGAATGGCAGTGAACCAAAATACTCTGATTAGAGGAGCCAGACAAGCCAGGACTTAGCCACTCTGCACACAAGCAGTAAATTGAATTCCACTGTGAGGTATTTCATCACAGCAACACAATCTGTCCTCAGCAACCATATAAAGCTTTCTGAATGTTTGAAGTGCCTTGCATCATGCATCACACAACAATGCCAAAACAGTCTTGAGCTTTCAGCATTTGATCAGTTGGGCTGATTTATCCATGACCAAACAGATTAGCAGGAGAGAACACATTTGACAACACAGCAAGTTCAACAGCTTGAACTCAGTCCCACCTAGCCTAAGAGTACCACAGTACATTTTAGACATTTTGACTGAAGTGTGTTTTATATGGCTCTCATGGCTCTTTTGTAGACAAAATACGAGTGCAACCGATATGTATAAAAGTATTAACTGTGGCACACATGCTAAAATATTAGGAGCTTTTACACTCGTAATAACTTGTGCAACAAGAGTAGATTGGGCAGGATTTGGTGTGTCTTTAACATTGTTCAGAAGTATCTGCAGCAAGTCCAAGTTCTTCCAGCAGGTTCACTATCAGTTGAAGTTGTGAACAGTGTGCTTCCATGTGGAATTGATCTGAGTTGGATTGAGATCCAAGGATTGTTTCGGCTGGGGAAGACAATAGGAGAGGATCAGTGGCTCCTCACGCCAACTGTGCAACCATGTTTGCTACAGAGAAACTATTAAGTTGACTGAGGGCTCTTAACATTTTGGCTGACGACAGTATGTTTGCAGATTTCTCACTGTGTTACCATGCATACATGGTACATTACATTCAAAAACATTACATGGCCATTAACTTCCAAGGTCTTACTTTCTGATGTCTCACTGTGCTTTCTTGTGATTTTACCATGATGTCATTGTATACAATGGGCTGGTGTCCCACCTTGGAAAGGCTTGTGCTCTCTCAATTCAATTCAATTCAAGCTTTATTGTCCCCTAGGGGAAATATGTTTTATGGCACAGTCAACACAATGACAAAACACATTATCAAAAGGGTAGATGATACAGAAGTGTAACAGGAGAAAATAAACAAGTGACAAGGTAGTTACTTTGCATTGTTTAAGAGTGTAATTGCAGTGGGAATGAAAGATTTCCTGAGTCTGTTGGTTTTACACCTGAGGGCACAGGGGTGTCTCCCAGATGGGAGAAGTGTGAATTCACAATGGAGGGGGTGAGACACACACTCCCTGATGCTTTTGGCTTTCTTAGTCACCCTCTGTTTGTAAAGGATTTGATTATTCCCGATTATTTTGCCATTTATATTCAATAATTTACCCAGCCTATTACAATTACCGGTACTTATGTTGCCAAACCAACAAGTGAATCAGTATGTTAAGACACTTTCAATGAATGATCTGTAGAAGAGTGTAAGGATAATTTTATCTACCTTAAAGTACCCGAGTTTTCTAAGAAAGAAGAGTCTCGGTTGGCCTTTTTTATAGATAGTGTCACAACATTTGTCCCACTTTAGGTTTTTGTCAATGACCAGTCCTAAGTACTATATAAGTAAATATTGTGGTATTTTTCCTAGAATCAATAACCAATAACTCTGTTGTCTTAACGCTGTGGGAACCAGGATAAGCTTTGGAATGACGGCCCATTATGGCTCGAATTTGGAATGTAAAAAGAGCAAGAAGTAATCAAGCAGTATTTAGTGTTTTGGTGTAAAGCTTGGCAAGATTACGAAAATGTTTTGATAAATCTTTTCGGTAATGCAATATTCATTTTTCTAACATTTATGGGTCTTTACAATTAATATGATTATTGCAGTAATAATTTCTAAGAAACCTCCAGTATGTCCCTGAAGATCTTTTACAGAATGTGATTTGCCTTGTGTTTACATATTGTAAATTCCATGGGTGGTACAGTCATCACATGGGCATAAATTTAGGCAGTACCAAACACACTGACACACCACGAGGCAATCTGGCAGTTTCATGGTGTTTAATTGAAACACATAATTATGGGAAAAATAAGACAACTAACTAAAAGAAATCTAAATTGTGTTCGACCTTCTAACTAACTTACGTTTCCCTCACTAAATACTGGGGGCAACTAAGTTGCTACAGGTATGCTTATCTGGTTGAAAAAACACTGTTTAAACAAAAATAAGGAAAAAAGGCTTTCCTGACTCACACTCAGTGCAACCTTAGCTGGATTCATATTCTGTTCAGCTTCCTACTCCAGTCCTTAGGCTTTATGTAGTTTAAATTTCCACTCTTTCTCTCTTTTAAATTGCTCCTGTATGGTTTCTTTCTCCTGTTTCAGGTCTTTCTGTAATCTCTTTCCAGTCTTGGTTCTTGCTGTAGTTAGTTTCCTTTTTGCTTTAGCCTGAGGTCTTACCACAGGCCATTCCCTTCTTTCAGTCTCAGGTTGATGCAACAGCTATAGCAATACACAGTGTTTACAATACAGCATCTTCTTAATCTCTACTTCTCCCACAATATCAAATCTACCTACTATCTGTCTTATAGTCAATTTATATAGGCTGGAACAGGGCATACAGCTGTTCCCTGTTCCAGCAATTGCCCAGTGAGTTTGAGAGCCGGAGTTTTCTCGCTGACATCTTAGTATGGGCAAAAGCATCAACAAACTGATTGACACTTCGGGGAAAATAGCATCCTTCAAGGACACCACTCTGTGCTAAAGATAGCATCTCCAATGACACTTCCTTTGTAAGTGAATGTATTGTCTAGTTTCAGGCAGGGTTTACCTTACATGTTTCTGTGGACTCTGCCTGGGATTTGGGTTATAATAGCTGTAATAATAGAGCAGATTTCAAGAAGGTTACAATTTAGAATTAGCATAATTAAAAATAAACATTTTATATCGAGGTGGTAAAATGTATTGTGAAAGTTTAATCGTGTCAGTCCTTGCTATGACATTTGGTTTGGGGTTTTGGACATTCCTATGTTTGTGGGCACTATGCCTCAGTCCGGCATGGCAAGGTGCTATTCATAAGTTGTTCTCTTGTGATTCAACAGGTATCTAGAAATAATTTCATCTGATATTCGGACCTCTTTATTTCTGCGGGCAAAAGATCCTGCTATGGCCCAGTCCTGGTACAACGCCATCCAGGCAAATGCCAATGCCCTCCTCCCCAGGGTGAAGGAGGAGCTCAAGAGCTTGCAAGGGGGGTCAGGTGGCAAGGAAATAAAGCACATAGGCTGGTTGACTGAGCAGGTATGTAATGAATCATGTGATCTGCCCTTGTTGTTCACAAAACTTTATACAAGGTAGAAAATGCATTACAAAAATAACATTATGCAACATATGTTTAATACTCTAATTTGATACAACCCCGAATCCAAAACAAAGCACAAAAATGTAACAATACCAGAATGAATCATATGCAGTATTGTAAAGTCTGCAGTAATTATAAAAAATACGTAATAGGTACAAAAACTAATAGGTCCTGCAAAATGAACTGCTCCGCAAGATTATATTGACACTCTGTTTAAGACATCACCAAGTTTTTCGGTTCATAATTCCACATTATTTCATTTGACATCCTTCAATTTTGAAAAGGAGAATGAGGTGTTTTAGCTTTGACTTACAGATGAATTTAAGGTTAAAGTTATTTATAAGTAAAAAATAAAGAAAAGGAATATCATTGAACTCCAAAATCCAATTATCTTAGATAAAATAGATTCTCTATGCATGAAAAAGAAAGGAACAACTTGTGGAAAGTCCAGAAAGTCTAATTAAGTTGGATTAACTGAAGTTGGGATATTCTATACAAGGCTTCTTGATCTTAAATTGACTCCATATGTTCTGAAATTAAACATCAACAATATTTCCAAACTACGAGTACAACAGAAACCACTGAGGGGAATGTTTTCCAGTAAAAAGATGATTATTTTGGCCATTCAGATTTATTGAATTTATTCCTGCAAGGAGAACCAGAAAGAACAAGTGCTTGAGTTTATAAAAACATGTGATGGAAAACATGATGGAAAACTCAAACTTTTTAAGAAACCTGGTTCTGTTTTCCTTTCTCCCAGCTGTCACGGGGCACAGAGAAGACTGTGCTAGCCATGGTAACTGAGAAAGATCTTCTTTTCTTCCGTACTTTACCAGACAGCAGGGATGCCCTGAACCATCCAGAGCACAGTCACCCTCTCATCACCACCAGGTATGCTCTCAAACTAACCACTCACACCCTCATCACTGCCAGGTACGCTCTCACATTGACCAGTCACACCCTCATCACCACCAGGTATGCTCTCACACTGACCAGTCACACCCTCATCACCACCAGGTACGCTCTCACACTGGTCAGTCCCACCCTCATCACCACTAAGTATGCTCTCACACTGACCAGTCACACCCTCATCACCACTAAGTATGCTCTCACACTTGCCAGTCCCACCC